TCCCAGCTGGACTGGAAACTCCCTGAGGGCAGGTGATGTTCTTTACTCACTGCATCTAGAAGAATGCCTGATACATAGTAGCCATCCATACATATATGTTGAATAGAATGAAGAGTGAACGAACGAATAAATGAAGTAGAAGGCAATCCAGTATATCAAAGAATCTATGGGAGTGGATATTATGAAAAAGAAAATGCAAATGGCATGGAGAATTGAAGCATATTAAGAGCCAAAAGATCCTTGAGGTTTAACTTTTAGGAGCTCACTATTTCAATTTTGCAGGGAGGGTTTCAGTAACATAGTGGAAGCAAAAGTCAGAGAGTTGGAGACTTAGGAATAAATATTGTTTACGGAAGTGGACTCAGCACAGATCGCCTGATCTTACCAGAGTGTGACTATAAGGGGCAGCAGAGATCATGGCAAAGCCAGGGAGGAGTGAAGACCTGAGTCTGACCTTCTTCATTTGCTTGCCTTTTTCTTAATTTAGTACTGGAAAAACTTGGACATCCTCACCAGTTTTTCTACTATTACTTTGTCCTCCCTTCCTGATATATCACAGGGGGAAAGTCTATAAATATTTCCTACTGCAAAGTGAAAAGAAACACACTTTAAGAGTCTTGATTCGTGGGATTTTTATTTGATACTTTTTCAATTTTGAAAACTTTCTAGATTTTCAGTCTACCTGAAAATTAAACTGTTTTCTTGACATTTATTTATAAAAAAAAAATGGCTGTGACAGTTTGTACTGGAGTATGCAAACTTTATCCTTACTAAGGCAGTTTGTTTTGAAGTTCTTTCCTCCTTTCAGCTACTCTTAAAAATCTGGACTTTGGAATTTCATCTTAAAACACTTACCTCTCTTTAACCCCAGATTTGGACATGGCTAGGTGCTAGGTCTGATGCTGGACACGGATATAGGTATTTGCTTTGACTATGGAGACTTAATTCTTAGCCCACCGCCACTTCTGACTTCAAATCTGCCCTTTAATCTGCTGCTATAAAAGAGGCTTCCTGTGTCAGAGAGCATCTGTAGAGTGTTTTCCTCAGGTCTTTTTACATGTATTTAGAAAACACAATTTTTGTGCTTAATTGGCTCCTAGAGTTTAAATGATGGTGCTCCCCTTTACCCAAACAATGAGGCATCCTGGTTATTGATACAAGGTCACCAGTTGGGTCCTTATTCTCACCAAAGCAGTTAATCACTTACTAGTAAGAGGGAGAAGGCGTTCTGTATATTTGGAGGCTGTTTAATCATCAACTTTGGGAATGGCAAATATTTCTCCGAGTTTCTGAGAACATGCAACCCACTGCTTCCCAAGGCTTTGTCACCAAATTTATTACTTTAATTAACCTGTTTTTTCTTTACCATATTGCTGTCATTTCTACAACCAGCTATGCACTCAATGCAGCAAGCGATCAAGCTATTTGTGAGGTTACTGCTAACGTTATATGTGAAAAAAAATCACAGGTTGAGTTGAGGGACCTCTTCTTTATTCCTGAAAGGCAAACACAAGACAAACAGAGGTTTCCAAGGTACCGGCACTGCATGCATCTGTTTCATGGTGTAATTTCATCAGTTGAACAGATGAAGAATGCTAATTAGTTTGTTTATACATTTGTGATTTAATGAGACTAAACACTTAACTGATCTTGAAGTGAGCACAACTTGTTTCCTGTTGCTGTTTTTAGTTTGATAAAAAACAGTGCTAGATATATTTTCTGGACATTATAATACTGTACAATACAGGAGAATTTCAAGGAAGGTGGATTGGTCAGTTGTATCCTGCGGCAGTGAGATCGAATAGGAAGGTGAGAATAAAAATGTTGGGTTTAGAGACAAGGGTTGAAATCCATTTTTAACGAGAAGATTAAGCTAATGGAAGACTTTATCATACACTGTATTATATCAAACTCCTAAATCTAGTACTAAAATTCTAATATATACAAGAGTAACTTATTTTTGGAAGTGGTTCTGTATCTCCATTAGATTCTACCTATAGCCAGAATACTATTTTTTTTGCCTTCTCTTTTATTTTGAATACTCTTAAAAAATTCTAATTATTCTTCTAATTTCTTCTTATAATTGTTGTAGTTATATTTTGATACAATTGAAATCATGAGATTCAGTTAATACAGCTCTTCATCTTAAAAATTAACACAAAGTAATGATATAATTTTATACATAAGTGACTATTTAACATTATTATCTACTACACGCTCTTTTATTATTTTCATGTACAAAAGTGGATCCACTATATTTTGGGGGGTGGATGGGTAGAGGAGATGAGGAACTAACTAGCCCTATTGACAAAATTAAATTTGGATTAAAATGCTTCATTTAATTTGTTCAGCTTTTTACAAACAGGGGTCAGAAAACTACAACCTGTGGGCCAAATCTACAGCCTGTTTTTGCAAATAAAGTTTTACTGGAACACATCCATGCCCATTTCTTAGAACATCAGCTATGGCTGCTTTCGTACTGTAATGGCAGTATTGAGTCTTTGGTAGAGACCTGCAAAGCTGAAGATTTCTGATTTCTGGCCCTTTATGAAAGGTTTGCTGACCACTGATCTAAACCATACATGAGGACAGGAGTTAGTAAATAGTAAGAATTATACTGAGATGCATTAAGGCCTGAGAAACAAATATTCATGGAATTGAGTCTTAAAAGAAATATGGTTGAGAGCATTAAATTTTTAGGGCTTGCAGAATCCAAGTAGCCATTCCACCTATCATCAAATTACCTTTAGGTCATTCAGTAAGTAGCCTGCTGAGATAGGTAGCTCCTTATTCTATTCTGACAGAATATGTTTTCTGCCCATGAATATCTAAAATCTTCCTTGTATCTTCTTGAAAATTCATAAATTACATGTGACCACAGATTTGGAGTATGACTTTAAGTAAGAGAGAGTACTGTCAGCTTCTTCTGGCCTGTCAGCGCCCATAATTGTCACTCATGCTTAACATCCCATGATGCCCCAAGGGTTGTCAGATGTTGAAATTTAGCTTTATTTGTCCCATTTCAGAAAATGAATTGTCGCTTGTTCTAAACTTATTAGATAACTTATCTGTGACAAATTATAAGCTGTTGCTTATACATATTAAGGACATATTAAGAGCATTGAGGCACATAGAAAAAAAAAAAGAAATCACTGAACTCTAGTTGTAAAGGCTGTAAGGCTTTATCCTGCATGATTCAAATGCCACCAGCCAATGAGCAAAATAATTATGTTCTTGTTTGTTTTTTAATATAATCTTCTAAGCCCTATCTTTGTGTTAAACTAATCCTAGTTTATAAATTAAGCCTGATTATTTAGAAACTAGTGTAATTTGGTAACATGAGTTTGGGTTAATAGAAAACACATTGACTCTGCCGCCAGATGGACCTATCTTTAAACTCTAGTTCCGTCAATTTCTATCATTTCAAATGAAAGAAAATGACCTAAACTTTTAAGCTTATGGCTCATTGGGGATAATAATACCTGTATCATATGGTCACTATGAGGATTAAAAGATTCCTATGAGGCTTAAATGTAAATACAGGGTTGCCAGAACTGTGCCAGGAACATAATAGGGGGTAAGTAAACGTGGGTTATTCTCCATTCTTTTTTGACTTTTCAAAAATGGAAAATAGTTGGTGAACCCAGTTAATTAAGACCATTAGCATTGCTGATAAGCTGAACTCACAACCAGACAGTTCCAGTGGCAAACAACCAGTGAGAAAGGGGTTGTGAATTATATGAGGAGTCACAATCAGAACATCAACAAAAACCAAAGTACAAAGGGAGATCTGTGGGGATGGCCTCATGTACGATTTCAGTGGGTCTCTAGGAGGAGAGGTCTTCTAGGTTTACTCCAGTGCTGTCTAGAGTTGAATTCAGAGATCCCTGCAAATCCAATGGCATGTTTTTTAGGATCAGGGGTTCTTTGAGAAAATAGTATTTGCTTTTAATTGTGATGATGTTTTAAAATTATTTGACTGTTTATAGTGACAAGTATCTTTTGTAGTATTTATGTATTTATTTATTTATTTATTTTTATTTTTATTTTTATTTTTAGCTGAGCCATCCTGCCACCTGTTGGCAGCTCAGCGGCAGCTCAGCTTGGGCCAGGAATCAAACCGCTGTTGCTCAGAGCTCACACTCTTGAGTGAGCTTTTAAGCAACTGAGCCACTCGGTCGGCCCCCTGTAGTAATCATTTCAATTAATCTTTTTTTCATCTAAAAGTCAGTATTCCAGATCTGCATAAATTTGTACATTTATATATATATACATATATATATATATGTATATATATATATATGTATATATATGTATATATATATACATATATATATACAGTAAAACCTTGGATTGCGAGTGACTTGGTTTGTGAGTGTTCTGCAAGACTAGCAAACATTTCCAATACATTTTAATGTGGTAAATGAGTGATGTCTTGCAATATGAGTAGTTTGTTTCTGGAACGAATTATGCTCACAAACCAAGGAATTTATACACACACACACACACACATATGTGTATGTATGTTTCAAAACACTGGTTTATGCTATTCTGATTTATCAGAAATAAGAGCATGATGAGAACGTAGTAGAAGTAGCACTAATAAAACATAGATTTAGACTTGGCTTCTGTCTTAAAACCATAGTGTTTTCATTCCTGTAGAATCAAACTAGACCAAATGGGTTATAAAAATGGACATCAGTAGCTTGTGCTAATAAGGACACTTTGGAGAAAAACTGTCCTTATTATATTTATATTCTATTTGAAAAGTAGTAAAATATTAAAAGAAAGTGTTTTACTAGTTAACTAAAATGCACACATATTCAAGATCTTTACCAAATGTTCCATCCATTTTATAATTGACGTTTCCACCAGAATTTTTTTTTTTTTACTTGAAAATGCATTATGACTGTATAGTCTTTGCTTCTTCACACCTGGCTTTTTCTGTTTTCCTAAGAATACAAAGTCATTCCTCTTTCTGTTCTTTTTACTGCCCATAGACACCCTAGTCACCAGGGTCGTTGATCTGACAGTGGCTCCTGTTTGTCAGTCCCACATAAGAAGAATCGCTCATCAGGAGGGGATCCACAGTGAGCTGAGGCCACCGACGCCATGTTCTGTACGAAGTTGAAGGATCTCAAGATCACAGGGGAGTGTCCTTTCTCCTTACTGGCACCAGGGCAGGTTCCTAAAGAGCCAGCAGAGGAGGTAGCAGGAAGCTCAGAGAGCTGCCGAGCCACTCTGCCCATCTGTCAGGACGTTTCTGAGAAGGATGTACAAGGAAGTCTTCCTCAAAGAAAGACCAGTCGGAGCCGTGTCTATCTCCACACTTTGGCAGAGAGCATTTGCAAACTGATTTTCCCAAAGGTGAGTCCTCACCCTTTGGAGATTTTACTGCTATTTTGGAAATTGTTAAAGAATGTTTTTTCTAAGGAAAATGCCAGCACTTGCTTTCTCACTTTCAAGGCTATAATAGATGTAGACTATTTCCTGGAAACATATAAAAAATACCCCAAACATTCCTTTAAAACAATCATCTTCTTAAATTGTGTTTATCTTTAAATGTTTAAGATCTTGAATTGTCTTCAAATGGATCCTGCACTCCGACAAGCTTTATGATTTTGAGCAACTGCATAGCCCCCTTAGCCTCAGCCTTCTTATCTGAAAAACAATAACATTTCCTATGCCACAGAGTTTTAATGAGCACAAAGGGAAGTATTCCATAGCTCTTGCCATACCATAAGTGCCCAGTAGTTGTTAGCTACTATTTTAAAATTAAAAATCCTTGAAGAATAAATTATTTTCTGCAGTGTTTTTCCTTCTGATTCCTAAAAGCATCATGTATCATCCCCTGACAATTCGTTGAGGTGGGAAAATCTCCCTTACTGGTTCTGAGGCTGAAGTCTCCGATGAAGCCAGGCTTGACCTAGTCCCTTGGGTCAGAGTTATGGGCCTGTGGTTGCTAATATCTATGTGTTGTTAGCTCGGACATGTCTTGATTTCAGATCACATCTCTGTGATCTGCATAGCCTAATGCCATTTTGAGATATGGAACCCCTTCTGTTCATCCACCTTTACGAGAACTCTGGGGAGAGGGCATACACCTAGTTAGGTCAAATGTCTTAGGACTAGAAGGGGCAGAGAGAAAGCCCCTCTTCCCTTGCAGGGCTAAACAGAGCAGAAGCTGAAAGTCTTCATGATGTCTTCCTCCCTCTATCAGTGTTCAGTTTTATAGAAACTTACTTAACCTACTTTATCAATGTTTGGACATTGATATAATCAAACTCCAGCTATCATAATCCACTTTTTAATTGACTCAACACCAAAGCAGTGAGGAACACAGACTTGCTGACTTTTAAGACTGAAAGGAATTTCAGAGGGCATCCTGTTTCCCTCCCTAGAAGGACTAGAGGAGTTAAGGAACTTAACCAAAGTCACACAGTTTTTGAAGGGCAGAGCAAACAATTATTGCTGTCAGATAATATGGGATTGAGTGACTGAGAAAGAAGAGACTTGAATTGAAACTTGAAGCATGGATAAGTTAGAAACAGCAGAAAGTTGAAGGTACTTATTTCACATAGAACGTTAACACAAATGTACTTTGGTTATTGGCCTTTGAAATAGAAGTATTTAATTATTCTTGCCCTACTCTAGTCACTAGACAGTCAACTTTGGCTGGGATGAGAGATGTAGCCCTTGTTAGGGAGCTGGTTGGCATCACAGTCTGGGAAGTGGTTGGTATTCTCGTTTCCAAGGACAGAGTGAGGAGAGTGAGGTGCCCAGAGTTGAACAGATGGTGATGCTCGGGAAGTGGGAGAGCCTCCATGCTTCCCCAGAGCCTTGTCATTACCATGTTGGCTTCATCAGTTTGTTTGATAAATGTTGAATTCCTAAAGTAGAAATCAGACACATGTTGGAAGCTCTTTTAAAAACATTCTGAATACCAATATAAATGATATTTTACTTTTTGCTTTGTCTTTACTTAGAGCAATCTGTATTTGTTTACGAACTCATAGGAGTAATCATTAAGATTTGACTATACTGTCATATAGCAGACAGAGAAAGAAAAGCTATAAGAATTCTAACAGGCAGGAGGGGTACAATTGGCAGTGATCACTAGAAATCTTCTCCAACAAGTGAGGCCATTTGCCTTATAACAGTAAAAATCCTAACATTGGATACATTTGGACTGTGTAATAATAATCTAGATTACTTCATCATGTGTCCAAACATCTGCATGTCTTTAATTAAATAGCCTTTTTTTCTGATTGTATTTTAAGTGGACAGATTTAATTCATAGCATATTGTCTAGTTTCAGTTCTATCAGTAATCCAAAGAAAGAAACTCAAAACACCATTTGATAGCATCATAGTTCTTTTTAGATAATCAGATTTAACTCCCCAATTTATGTTTTTATGGGGGGCAAGTATTAAAATTAATTATCCTTAGCAAATTTAAAGTAGGAGGTATCATTCCAGAGTTGTGGAATAGTTGGGCTTAAACGGTCTTGTTGATCACCTAATGCAAACTTTTAATTTCCATTGAAGAAATCGAGGCATATAAAGTTAGGCCACTTGCTTTAAGTAAAAGAGACAACTGGAGAAATGCAAAGGTCTCAGCATTTCATTCATAATCCATTATTCATTATAATATTGTTTGCACATTTTTTTCATGGCTATTGCTCCCTGATAATTCTGTAGGCTGTCCAGGCATAGTGTCTTTAGGAGCTTGCTATATAGTATTAGCCACAGCTGTAGCACATCAGAACCCACTTACTGAATTGAATCAATTGAATCAAATATGCTTAAATAAAGGATATTACCCCAAGTCAAAGAACTCATGAGACTAAGAGGATCTGAGGAGAATCATGAATTCTCTAAATGCGTTCCAACATATTAGTTTGCAAGAAGAACAAAAGAAGCAGAATTATAATTTATCCTTATGAATTGAAATATCTTTGGTCTAGAAAGTCATTAAAACTATAAAAAAGTTGAAAATCAACTGAAATAGTTAAACCATACCAATGAAGTTCCATTCAGTGTTCATAGTAATATTGCATCAAATAGTGGTTTTACCTAAAGTATTAATATATAGTGTATTTGTGAAAAACGTAGTTGTTTTAACAATAAATACGTATCTATCCTTTATCAAGTCAAAAGATAATTGTTAAGTAAAGAGAAACAAACTTGGGAGCAAGTTTATTTACTTTTGGGGACAGGCGCCCCCTCTGTGAATCAGAAATTCCATGATCCACAACACTTCAGGATCTAAGGATTATGGATATAAGCAGAGCCCATTTTTCCAAAACACAAATGGAGGCTTTCCCAAATGAAAGGGAGTTTGAGTGCTAGGCCCTAAACATCTACAGGAGATTACTACACAATACTTATGTGTGTTGGATTCTGGGAAACTTATTTTAAAGAAAATGTTGGATTTAACCCTAATTCACCCTGCTAAACTAAAAATCAATATATGGACTTGTCGGGACGTAGAGTATCTGACCTTCCTAGAGCAGTCCTAATTGTATGTCACGAGGCCCTGAGGTTGGCCTTGTAGGACAAGCCTCACTTAACATTGAGTCCTGCCATTGCTTTATTGTGAACTTGTGTCATCCCAGGGTCTAGGTTCCGGATATATCCCAGGAGCTACAGAGCCAAGGCAGGCACCTCTGTGCACCAGTAGCCTTTACCAATAAATGTGTTGCCTGGAAAACTTATGGGGTTTGATTTTTTTTTGACCTGATAACAATTTTCCAGAGGATCAATGATATATAACAGTAGATACAAAAGTCTGTTAACATGTAATATCACCAGAATATGCCACTAAAGCTTTGCTAAAACTTCAGCCCTTTTTTTCTTTAGAAAAACAAGTTCTGAGTCCAAATGGAAAGTTAGGAACACATGTGTCCCACCAGCCCTAGTCTTGGGAAGAGGTACCATTTCTCTTCCCCTCTTCCCATGACAGCATTTACATTATGTGGAAAGCTCCAGAAAAAGAAGTTCATGGGGACAGTGTGAAGGACATGACAGGCTGAGAAGGACCTTGATTGAAAAGGGTAAAGAGTGCACCTGAGGGTTTAATCAGAGGTGGGAAGCAAGAGACTGATGTCTCTACTAGCACTTGGGAGGAGGAGGAAACAGTCCTTTGGTGGCAGAACTAGAGGGCTTTTCTTTTCTCCTTGCCCATCAAAAGTTCTTGGTCAGAGCAGCAATTGGTATATAAACATATCTAATTCAAATTATTTTAAATCGGAAACAAGCTAAATGTATTTGTAAACAAGCTCAAAGAGTAACAACTCTTACCTGGCTCTGTCACTTCACTGATGTCATTTTATACATTAAGCTTTCAAGACTGGACCTCTGACAGGGAGTGTCACTCACTCACTCATTAATTCCAGCCATATGTATTGAGCATCCCCTATGGCTGTGAACTGTTCTAGGTGCTGGATATTTAGTGGTGAACAAAACAGGTGTTCCCTTCCCTTTTGGAGTTTCCACTCTAGTGGAGGAGATGATGATAATAATAATGATAATAATGATAATGATAATAATAATAATAATGGCAGGTGACAAATGCAGGAAGGCAAAGTGAGAGCTCATGCACAAAGGCAATGACACTCATTTTATTGATGACCCTTTGGCCCATATGGGTATGTTTTGCAGGAAGAAAGAACTCACAGCAACCCGTGGTTTCATGGGTTTTAATCCACCTGAATATGCAGCTGTCAGTAATGGCAGAGTAACTTTCTATGAAGCAAAAACACCCTTGAGAAATTGAAGCTTTTCCAGCACCCTGGCTGATTCATCTCATTTACAGGCTCCAACTAAACATTCCTCTTTTCTTTACATAAGACTGCTGAGAAACATGCCTATATCTTCCTTCCCAAATATGTTCCCCATCTGCCAGGCATCCTGCCCTTTGCCACCACACAGGTCCCCAGGACCTTGCTTAGAGTCTGCCCACTACAGAAATCTCCTGCCAATGTTTCTTTCATCCTGAGACAGACGTATCTTGCCTCTCCTTATCAGAACAGAGAAGTTGTTCTACATAGTAAACTTAAGTTTTCTTTTATTTCTTTTTGGCCCTTGCATTTTCTTTCAGTAAATTTCAGTTCTCTTTTCTAAGCTCTATAATGTACATTAAAGCAGAAAGTTCTTTTCAGACCTTATTTCATTAAAATAGAAGATTGGTCTATTTTGCTGAACTCTACTGCCTCATTCGACCAGTGGAAACTCTAAGAGAGATATAAATAGTTGTTAAGGAGAAAGGAATTTCTCAGCTTGGAACATAGCCAGAAAAATTTTCACTTTCCTCTGGGTAATCTACAGAAAGAGTCAATGGTTATATATACACGTGTAGATGCATACGATTTTTATATGGAATGCCAAAAAATTGGCATCACTTTTTACCAATGCCCTACATTCCCTTATTAACTAGTTAGAGACCTCAACCTATTAAGGAAGATTAATAGATAGTCAACAAGTATTTAAAAGTATGGAGGCTTATATTATATACAACTATCTTGCGGTACAGGAAAATTCATGAAATCCTCAGAAACTAGTGAAAGAGAGTAAAACTGTAAGTATTTGGTAAAGAATTTCAGTTCCAAGAAAAGAAATTAGTACAAGTTAGGGCAAATCCAAGATTTGTTTCAAATTAATGATCAACTGATCTTGGTAACAGATTGGATTTAAAGGATAAAAGAAAGGGGAAAAACAGATGATCTCCAGAGTTTTCTTGACCAGGAGACATAAGTGATGCCTGAAGCACTAATATGAATTTGTAGGTAAGGCTGAGAGTCACTGATGTGCTGGGTTTGTGAAAAGAATCAGGAGTTGCTTGGCTCAAGGAGCCATGCTGAAATTGGAGTACTGGCAGCGCATCCAGGGGGATTTCCTGACCCGGAGGAAGTGATGCCCAGGATTCATTCATGGAAGACCTGATGTTACCAAACTGGAGTCTTCTGTTTGGGTTCCAACTCAACTTGACCTTGTTCTGTGGCTGTCAGAGAGCACCAGCCAAGGGCAAAACCTGTGGGCCATAGCCCACATCTAAACTCAAATGAATCTGAGCTCATGGTTTCTTCTCAGGTTTGGAAAAACCCATGGAACAATCAATCTCACTTTCCAAAGTGTAAATTCATGACACTTATTATTCATTCAAGTATAGATGTATCTGCTTCTTCCCAAGAAACTTTCAGGATGAACATTTAAAATATAGCTTCAAGTAAATTTCAGTGAAGGGAATGTTTAAAACTTTTCTTTTCAATTTTCAGTTCGAGCAGCTGAATCTTGCACTTCAGAGAACACTGGCAAAACACAAAATAAAAGAAAGCAGGTAAATTAAACCGCTTTAATTGTGTGAACTTCCTGTTATCATCTCTGATACTACTACTAATAACCAACACTTACTGAAAGTATGAATGTATTTGGAATCATTATGGTATGCCAGAAACTGGACTAAGTGTTTTAGCTGCCATGAATCTGAAAGTAAGTGCATTTATTGTATATATTTTGCATATCACTAAGCTCGAGTTTATATAAAATGTTGAGGAGTTCATAGGGGTTTAGGAAAAGGCAAACTAAGTTTCCAACCTGACTTTTCAAAGCCCATGATTTTAACCATGTTGCCATGTACTGCTGCGTTAACAAACTCCCATAGGCCTCTTTCCTACTAAAGGGTAATTTCTAAAATATTTAACAGGTAAGGCATGGATCCCAGACAATCAGTACAGACTCCTTGCCTGAAGGGTATGCTAAAAGGCTGGAGCAGGGTCCCAGTGATACCTCTTCCTTGCTATTGTCTCTCTCCCGCCCAGGTTAAACTTTTAGCTGTTGTAACAGGAGGTGAGATGGAAGAAGGATCAAGGTGGGTGAATGGGGAGCTTGGGGCAGCAGCCATGTATTAATCCTTAGGGGCGTCTTTCAGTATTTTCACAGCTAGTGTGGTTATACTGGTGTGCACTGGCTGACTATCAGTTCCATGTATACTTTTTCTTGTACTCTGTCTTTGAAATTTTCTTTAAGAAAGCTTTCTGTAGAGGCTTAATATATAAGGTACTTTTTTAAAAAAAAATCTGATTTATAGAGTTAGTTTTTCAAATATATGTTGGCGTAGTTACTGCTGGTGAATAACTCGATTTGACCTTGTTTTTGATTCCTTGAAATCTCAAGGATTATTTCATCTGTAAATGATAGAATAAATAGTTCAAACGTGCAGAATTCAACATTGACATTTTGCAAACCAGTGCAATTGTCAGGACTATTTTATAAATTCATTCATCTCTTTACTACCCATGAGTGAATAATCCATTCTGTGGATTATCTGTGCTTCATTTTCCTTGCTGTCAAACTTGTCCCAGGCTGCAGGCAGCAGGCTGCCAAGAGGGGGTCACAGACGGGGCCCAGAGGAGAGAGTGTGAATCCATGTGTCTGACAGAAGCTTTGTTTACACGGGTGATATGAAAAGCATTCCAGAGCTCCTCTGACCTTAATTCTCAGTCACACCGATAAGATACCCACACGTCATTGCAGCCGTGCTACTGTGTCTGTCTGCTTAAGTCCTTGGCAGCCAGTTGGCTCAAAATTTATTCTCAGGGCTTTGTGTTCTGAAATATTCCTAAACTAGAGGCAGGCATTCTGTTAGGTTGGGTTCCCAGCAGTGTATCTCTTCTAAAAATCTCAAAACTAAAAAAAAAGAAAAAAGATTTTATTTGGAAATCTTAAAAAATCTTTTACCACTTCCCTGGTTTCTTAAAGAACTGATCATACTTTTAAATTGTCCTAATCGTAAGAGTCAGTTATTGAAATAAGATGAGAGCCCATTTTTCTCATAAGAGTGCCTGCTGATATGCCAAATGGCTTCTCTCTGCTTTGCTTTTTCTGTTCTTGTGTATGTTCTTTGTTTCTGGGTTCGTTTATTTTTCCCCCATCTTCTTTGTGGCAAGGCAGCTGCCATTTCTATTGCTCTTATTTTGCCAGCTGCTGAACACACCTTAACTCCTTTTTAGACTGCTTGTGATCTTATGTGACTTGAAAAGCAAAAACAAACAAAAATAATATATTGAACTGTCCTTAAGTTTTAGTACAGCCATTCTGATACTTCTCTAGGTCGGTTGCACATTGAGTTTTTGCTTTGTTTCTTTTTCTGGGCCCTTTTGTTCATCATATGTATTAACTCATGGCTGGTGTGTGTGTACAATGCATAGACGTTTACTGGTGCACAAAGAAGCTTACATTTCCTTTTTTTAAAAGATTTTATTGGGGAATGGGGGGAACAGCATTGGGGAATTGGGGAAGGGGAACAGACAAGTTGCTGTCGTTTTGTTCTTCAGTCTAGTTGTGGAGGATGTCGCTTCACTGGCCCATGTTGGTATTATCATTGCGCCCTTCCCGGGTGAGGCAGTCACTCACTGGCCATTGGGCGGCCGCTCACGGCAGCTCACAAAAGCGCACGCCAGCTGCCGACCAGCCCCACTGCAGCCTACGCCATCGCCGGTGACTCATGGCAGCCCAGCTCCAGGTCAAGCTGTTGTTCACCATCTTAGCTATAGAGGGTGCAGTGTCACTGGCCCTGATGTGGGATCCAAACCAGGGCTCTGCTGCTCAGAGCTGGCGTCCCAAGCCAACTCCTAACCAATGCACCACTCGGCCCACCCACACTTCCTTTTTTTATTTTGAAGAGACAGATAAGGAACTTACTTTGAATTGCACTGTGTATCATTTGGACTCACTAAGCTCTGCTCACATCTCATATCCCGGGTGCTGGGAGTTGGCAGAATTGTAGTTCTCTGAGCAGATTTGCTCTCATTCTTTAGCAAGAAACAGAAATTGCTTAAATGAAAAAAAGCAAATCTAAGGACTTATTCATATAAAATAATATATATCAAGGGGTTTGGTGATGGATAGAGACTAGACTTTGGGTGGTGACCCCACGACATAGTACACAGGTGTTGTATTATAAGGACATACACCTGAAACTTATATGTTATTATTAACTAATGTCGCCTTAATAAATTTATATATATATATATATATATATATATATATATATATATATTTCAAGGGGTTTGGGGATCTCTAGAGTCAAACTAGATATTACTGTATAGTGATCCCCAACCAATTTAGATAAGAAAATATTCCCACTGAATATTTTAAATAATTATAAACAATATACCCTTATGTGATAAAGTAGTAGACTGAGCAATTTTCTTCCTTGAAAATATTTCCTTTTGAAACTCCTCTGCATGTATCATGTTTTATTAAAATCTGTTTAAAATTTTGGGTTTATGCCTGTTTGTGAACTTGGCTTGTCTAATGGTAAACTAAACCACTAACAGACCTTGGGTGTCTTTTAATATGCTTCTACAATTTGGAAAATTTGCTCATAATCAAGTCATCGCTGTAAGAAATCATCAAAAAACAATTAGGCAGACATGAATCAACAAGTTGTCCAGTTGAAATTACCAGAGCTTTCTATCAATTAAAATGTATGCTATTACATTATAAACTTCTATGCTATAGAAACCAGTACAGTAATTGAATAAAGAATAGATTTCTTTAGTTACTCATTTTTATACAAGATCAAGGATAAAAGTTTAATGATGCCTGAGTGTTAAGTATCTAGAACCTAAAACTCAAAAGCAGGATATGCTTACAATGTATTTGCTTTAGGAAAAAAAATATAGTGATAGCTAAAAGTGAAATCCATCAGAATGTAGGTGTTTCTTCTTGGTTGGGTTATCAGAAAAGCCTGGCTGCTTTATTATCATCTCTCTCTAGGCCATTTCACACTCCTGGTTCCCTGCCAGTGCAGACCTCTATAATATAGCCTATGTATAGTTAAAAGGTAAGTACACATCATAAAAAATGATGAAACACTCCTTATCAGGTGTATTTGGGAGTTTTCTAGTGTTGTTGTTTTGGGTCGTGCATGTCACTGCTCCTTTCCAGTAAACTTGACAGCCAAGAGTTACCGTAACAGAAAAGGTAATTTAAATCATTCTCTGTCATTTCTGTATGTTATAATCTGAAGTGGTGGCATTCATTTGTCAGTTCATAATTTAAATATTGAAATAATTTCAGAAAACCTGTGGAAAGAGAAGACTTTGAAAAAATAATTGCAGACCAAGCTCTTGCAGCAGGTAATAGAATTGTTTAAGTATATGCTATTAGGAAATACTTACACAACTAATATTTTACCTGTAAACTGATATTTTCTATTAGTAGAAAATACTTACCTGCAAAACTAATATTTTCTCCTAAAATATTTGCATTTATTTTTTGGTGACTTCCATTGTGAAGTGTTCAATGTTATATATTGTGTTAGTATAGCGACTAACTCTTTTTCATACTATATATTTTTGTTTGACCTAAAACATTTTCTCTTCTTATAATATTTATTTGCTGAGAAGTAAATAAGACTGCATGGGAAACTGAATCATAGACATTTACATGCTTGGTCTTGAAGTTAACTAAGTATTCCTCATTTATGAATAAAAAATCCTAGTCAACAAAGTAAAATAAATGATTTTTTTAAATGTTGGAAATAATCATGGGAAAAAGAGTTCACAATGTTCTCATATTAATTAGTTTAGGGAGACAAGTAAATGAGTAAATTTGTCATACTGATCTTTGCAAAGTTTGAGTACATGGACCAATAGGCTAAATTTTTCTAAAAGTTCAAGATATTAAGAATTTAATAATAATAATAACAACAACAATAATAATAGTGGTGATGATGGCTAACTTATATTGAACCCTGCCTAGAAGCCAGGCACTATCATCAACATCATCACCCACACATCACAACAGTGCTACGAAGAGGGCAGTATTGTTTTTCCTAAGTTACAGATGAGAAAAATGTAATACACAGAGTTTAAAGAAGAAAGGTGGATAGGGAAGAAGTTGTAGAAAATATAATAAATAATATATTCCAAACACATATTCATTCAAGTAACATTAAACAACAAGAATGGTATTTTACTCAGAAAAATACAACAAAAACTGTTTTGTATCAACTGTAAAGAAAAATGAAAAAAATTGAGTTTCACGACCAGTGATTTCAAATTAATTCCGGTATCTGAAGCTTATACTCCTGGAGGCCCTGCCAGGGAGGGGGACAGTACCCCTTCATCAAGATGTACGGGTTTTATTGCTAACAAAGTGGGAGAGCTTTCTTTGCAATGGACATGATCCTATAATTCCCATTGCTCTTTCATAGTTAAGTTTAAGGGAGATAAAAAAGCCGTATGTTATACTCAATTGATCATTCTATTTTAACTAACTGATTTGGGATTTTTAGTCAGAGTTTCCAGAATTTTAGTAACAAATCTATGTAGATAATTTGAATGTAGGTGGTTAATTTGGGTTGGAATTCTTATTACCATATATAAAGGAAAATGAATAATCAAATAAAACAATGTTAAAAATAGTAGCTCTACCAAGATGAGATATTTGATATGGCAGAAAATGTATTATATGCTTTCAGGCATTCCTGTGGAGATCATCAAAGAATCTCTAGGTGAAGAGCTTTTTAAAATGTGTTATGAGGAAGATGAACACATCCTGGGCGTGGTTGGAGGAACCCTCAAAGATTTTTTAAACAGCTTCAGCACCCTTCTGAAACAGAGCAGCCACTGCCAAGAAGCAGAAAAGAAGGGCAGGCTCGAAGACGCCTCCATTCTCTGCCTGGATAAAGACCATGATTTCTTAAACGTTTACTATTTCTTCCCGAAGAGGGTCACGTCCCTGATTCTTCCCGGCGTCATTAAGGCAGCTGCTCACATCTTGTACGAAACCGAAGTGGAGGTGTCATTAGTGCCTTCCTGCTTCTGTAACGATGGCAGCGAGTTTGTTAATCAGCCCTATTTGTTATACTCCGTTCATGTCAAAAGCACCAAACCATCCCTGTCCCCAGGCAAACCCCAGTCCTCGCTGGTCATTCCCGCTTCTCTCTTCTGTAAGACGTTTCCATTCCATTTCATGTTTGACAAAGAGATGACAATTCTGCAATTCGGCAATGGCATCAGGAGACTGATGAACAGGAGAGACTTTCAAGGAAAGCCTAATTTTGAAGAGTATTTTGAGATTCTGACGCCAAAAATCAGCCAAACGTTTAGCGGAATCATGACTATGTTGAATATGCAATTTGTGGTTCGTGTGAGGAGATGGGACAATTCTGTGAAGAAATCTTCAAGGGTAAGTGCAGCAACATAACAGTATTTTGAATATGAAATAAATTATTTTGTATTTAGGGACGAGAAACAACAACAAAAAAAAGATACAGATCACTTCAAGGGTTTTGATAAAACATGTATGTTCAAAAAAATTCTAAAGTACTTTTAAGGTTGGAATAAATTTAAACCAAGATCCTTTCTGAATTTATTTGCTTGCTTACTTGACCCATTTCTTCACAAATATTTACTGAAAGTAGTTTATCTTTTTTCAATCATCATGGAATAGCTGACTTAATTTGGAATATAAGAGGTATTGTTCTATAATAAACAACAACCACTTGTTCCTTATAGGACTTAAGTGGATTTTTAAATCAGTATTTAATAGACATGGAAAAAATCAGTAACTTGTTTAACTGTTAGAGAATGTGGAGGGAAAGGTTTCTGTCATCTCATGATAGAGAACTTTGGTAATTATTTAGTCTTAGGAAAGAAAGTTTGCTACATCACAGTTGATAGTACAAGCAAAACAACAGAGAAGCTTATGATGTGTATAACTTTTAGACATACATACCCCCAGCAGAAGCACTGTTTGTTCCCCAAAATGAAAACAGTTTTATTACTTTTTATCGTAAAAAATATAGAGCTAAATGTTTTTTAAAAAGGGTAATATTTAAAGATGTCCATTTCAGCTAAAAAAAATAAAAAACATTAATTATACACTTTTTTTTAAAGATTTTTATTGGGGAACTGGGGGGATGGGAACAGTGCTGGAGAATTGGGGACAGGGGAACAGACAAGTTGCTGTCGTTTTTGTTCTTCAGTCTAGTTGTGGAGGACGTTGCTTCACTGGCCCAAGCTGGCACTATCATTGCGCTCTTCCCAGGTGAGGCAGATCAGTCGCCGGCATCTAGATGGCCGCTCATGCTGGCTGCTGGCCGCTCACGCTGGCTGCTGGCTACAGATGGTAGCCCATGGCAACCCACTGCCACAGGGGCTGCAGCCTACACCGTCGCTGGCGACTCACGGCAGCCCAGCTCCAGGTTGAGCTGTTGTTCAGCATCTTAGCTGTGGAGGGCAGTGTCACTGGCCCTCATATGTGGGATCCAAACCGGGGCCCTCTGGCATCCCAAGCCAGTTCTTAACCATCGCGCCACTCGGCCGGCCCTAATTATACACATTTTTGTTGAAACAAAAAAAAATACTATTTATAACTTCATTTTTATTAATACACGATATATATTTTAGATATATTCCATGTCATTAGATATAGGTCTATTGCACTTTCAAGGGCTGTGTAGTATCCCATTGTAAGGTTGTCCTCTATGTAACTGTCTGCTGTTGAGGGACATGGAGGCTGCTTCTGAACCTTTGCTGCAGTGAACACATATATGCATGTCTGTCCGCACTCATTCAAGTAAATCTTGTGATGCAACATGATCACCTAAAGCCTCACCCCTCTCCAGACTCCTTGGTACACTCTTCCTGCTGGCTGTTAATATCAAAAGGATGTAGTAACAAAAGCATCCTCATGACACTTAGTGAGAAAAGCCTTCAAGCAAGAACTTTTTGCACAGCTCATTGAAATTTATGTGTAGAGTATACTCCAATGTATTTTTCAAATAGCTGCATGCATTTTGGAACTCATAGTGAGTTGGAACTATTGTTCCAGCTTAGAGAAAGCATATCATTCTTTGTCAGCAGGTAGCAAAAAAATCAAGTTTAAATACAAAGGGATTATTAGTGTATCTACTTCCTCTGTTTTGTCTCAAGAAGGTGTTGGAAACTTGAATAAACCATAACAATCGGCTGTCCTTTGTTTCACAGGTTATGGACCTTAAAGGCCAAATGATCTACATCATTGAATCCAGTGCGATCTTGTTCCTGGGGTCACCCTGTGTGGACAGGTTAGAAGATTTTACAGGACGAGGGCTCTACCTCTCAGACATTCCGATTCACAATGCACTGAGGGATGTGGTCTTGATAGGAGAACAGGCCAGAGCGCAAGATGGCCTGAAGAAGAGGCTGGGCAAACTGAAGGCCACCCTTGAGCAAGCCCACCAAGCCCTGGAGGAAGAGAAGAAGAAAACAGTGGACCTTCTTTGCTCTATATTTCCCTGCGAGGTTGCACAGCAGCTGTGGCAAGGGCAAGTCGTACAAGCGAAGAAGTTCAGTAATGTCACCATGCTTTTCTCAGACATTGTTGGGTTCACTGCCATCTGCTCCCAGTGCTCCCCGCTGCAGGTCATCACCATGCTCAATGCGCTCTACACACGCTTTGACCAGCAGTGCGGCGAGCTGGATGTCTATAAGGTAAGGGTGGAGCAGGGCGATGCCCATTTTCCAGGCAAAAGCCCCTGAGAAACAGCACTGCAGCTAGGACCTGAGTTACGATGCAAATGAAAGGCTTTCCTCGTCAGGGCCATCCTGAGAGCCACATCCTGAGAGCAGGCACTGTGCATCAGTCACATGGGTGTTCTCCAGCCAGAAAGAGCTATGAATCTGCTCAGAAACAGAGAGGATTATTCCGTGAAAGGACTGACACATTGCTTTCTCAAAGACTAGGCATAGAATGGTGGGATGATTCACTGGGTAGAGGATGAGTATAGGACGCATGATAAGTTAAAGTTTAAATGTCAGTGATCACTATGTTGTTTTGTACACTTGAAACTAAAAACAAAAAACAAAAAACAAAAAAATAGAGCCAATGAACTTGACTCTTGACTGTGGAAACTGAATTGAGTTATTAAGCATGAGATCATTCAAAGTGTGGCTGTACAAGGAAAACTTATCCTTTGTTTTGGGTCCATAAAAGTAAAGAAACCGGATTATTCAAATTGTATTTCAATACATTAGTTCAATAGAGAGTTAACATGACAATTTTCATGGCCAATTAACAGAAATCTAAATTATTTACAGAGGGCATTATTATGGAGAGGCCGAGAGCAGAGAGGCCTGAATAAGAGAGATCTTTCTTCAAATCTTATCTCTACCTGACTTGCTTAATAAACTGAGAAAGTTAACCTGTCTCATTTCTGAAACAGGGAAAATATTATGCACCCAGAGAATTTGTATGCATGAATAACATACAATATGTCTCATAATCTTTATGAACCAGATTGTTATAAATATTATGGTAAATAATATCTGTTATGCATCAGACAACAGGATTTTTTGAGTTCCTGTGATGTACCAGGCATCTTTCTAGCCACTGGAAATGCACAGTGATTGTCCCTAACTCAAAATAAGTTATTAAAAAAAAAGAAACAGTAACTATTATCAATAAAAGTACTAGTGAATAGATTTCATGTTCTGATTCTTTAGATGTAAGACATATTTTTTACTGATTTTAAGTATTTTGCATTGTTTTAGATACCACCATTAAGAATAAAACATGCTTCTCGTTTGTGTGGCTTGAATTATCTCTTAATTGGCCACATAACAATCTGGCATTTCCAAGCTTAACCCAGCACAGAATAGATAAATGATTGAGGAAGAAACAAAAATTATTTGTGGGACTACATAAGCCCCTGTTTTTTTTTCCAATGTAGATGTTAGAAATGAAAAAGCAAAACAAAACAAAACCTTTTAAAAATTTCTAACAGGAAATTCCAGACAGAACTATGATCCCTTGGGACAAAAATAGGCTCATGTATAATTACAGATAAAATAATTGGCTTCAGTTAGGTTAAGCCTGATGGCCTCTTGTGGAATCTACTGTATTTATTTGTAGACAGTTTCTATCTAAGAATGTCTCCTGTCTCAGAATTGTGAGAAGGAAGCCTTGCTCTCTTTGCCTACTGCTGTGATCGATAGCAGAATTGGTAGTCCTCTTCTACAAATTTCAAATTGCTTATTCCCATCAAGTGTTCAGAATCTAGCCTCCTTACTACAAAGATGGCAGCCACAGAGTCCCCCGATGAACTCAGCTGCCGTGCGAGCTAGTAAATCACCTTCTTTACCAATCCTTATTTTCACCTTCTCTTCACTTCTGATTTTGCATGAAAACACCGGAGATAGATGTAAATCAATAAAGAAGGGTCTTAACCATAAAATAAATTTAAGATATACAGAATGTATAATCATAGGCTGGCCTATAGGTGTCACGGCTTCTAAGAAATAGTCAAGCTTACTTATTCCAGGACCTGAGTATACAAGGACTTTATTTAATTTCATTTTCTGTCTTTCAATCTTTTGGTCATCTGTTTGTGTCAGTAATTTATCTATCCATTGTTTTAGCAAATACCTACTGCTCATCCAGCAGTTGCCAGCATGGGTGGGCATGATCCCTGTGAGAAGAGTTCACGTGGGAGGGGAGTGGAGGGGTGGCAGTCACAAATGCTAGATTTCCTCGTGACATGATGAAGGCCCCATTTGACTCAAGTCTGTACAAGGTGCTACAATAGCACAGAGAATAGGTGCCTAACTCCAAGTTGGGGTGAGAGTACCGCTTCTAAGTAGTCACATTTATTGGGCGACTGTGACATCTTAGCCTTTATGTTAAGCACTTCTTATGTATCCATTACCGAGGAAATGCCTGATGTTAGGCATTGCTGCCTGGCCCATTCATTGGTGAATATACTGGGCACTGCTGATACAGGAGTTAATAAAATAGACAAACTCAGAGAGCTATGTTCTACTGGGGGAAAGAAGGACAATCAACAGATAAGTAAATTTATAGTATTCCAGGTGGTATAATATTCTGGAAGGAGTATAAAGCAGGTTAAGGGGAGAAGGGCAGAGGATGGGGGTGATTACTATTTTGTAGAGGGTGGTTGGGATAGACCTTTCTCGTAAGGTGATGTTTCAGCAGAGGCTGAACAAAATGAGGGGCAAGGCTATCTGCAGGAAGCTGATTCCAGGCAATGGACTAGCAAGTGGGAGAATACCTGGTATGTTTGAAGGGAAGCAGGAGGCCAGTGGCTTTAGGTCAAAGTGAGCAGGGGAGGGGTCGAGGAAATAAAGGCGGGGATTAGCAGAGAGGCAGGCCAAGGAGAGCTTTGGGTGTGTTACAAGGGGGCTTCAGCATTTATTCCGAGTGAAATGGGAAATGACTGAAAGTTTGTGTCTCCTTCTCACCTCCATTTCTCCACACTGGAAGCTTTGGGTAAGAAGAGTGAGATGATCTGATAAGTTACAATAAATATTTAGAGGAGAAGAAAAATGCAACTATTATTAAAATTTGGTGCATTATTTTTTTTTTCGTGGACTTAACTGTTAGCTTTTTGTAGTCAGTATCACAGACAGATAACACCAAGATATCTGCTGTATGATTCTTAATTTCTGCTATGTTATCCATGGTGGTTTTTCCTGAACTTTTATTTGTAATACGGAAAATCTGTTATGTGTAGGTGGAGACCATTGGTGACGCATATTGTGTGGCTGGGGGATTACACAAAGAAAGTGATACCCACGCTATTCAAATAGCTCTGATGGCCCTGAAGATGATGGAGCTCTCTGATGAAGTCATGTCTCCCCATGGAGAACCTATCAAGGTAAGGTAGATCAAAAATTGTCCAGGAAATGAGAGTAAATAAATGCTTATTAATTGTCCAAAGAATGGTGTATCAGTTGGGGTTTGGTTTCAGAGAGCAAAATCTCTAATTTATTTAAGCAGGAAGAAATTTACCACATGGTATTAAATGGTTTACACAGTCATTGAGAGGACCAAAGAAGCCAGCAATAAGTTGAGCTTTCAAAAAATGGCTCCCAAAGCCATGCTTGAGAACCACTGCTTTTTCCACAATCAGGAAGCTAACTCCAGAAGCCTGTACCACCTCAGCCACAGTCAGGCAACTTCTGTGTTGAGAAAGCTGCTGCCTCTAATATTGGCTACAGAACATAACTATAATATCAGCAACATGGAAATCCTGCATCATGACATGCACAAAATGAGTGCCTGGAAACTGAGCTCTCTGCTAAACATGCCTTGGAAAACCCAGAGGCTTCCGCGGTTCTGCCTGCACTCGTAAGCAACAGGAGTGTGCAGCCACAGCAGAAACCCTGGCTTGCAAATCTCATGCCAGTGTACCTGATTCACCAAACCTCAATGCATATGGAAGCTGCCAGTGAGTTTGGAAAATGTAATTTTTATTTTTCCAATGTGCAGGGAAGGATATTATGGTAGAATTGTCTGGGGCACATAAAATTCAACAATTTCTAGATGAGCCAGATCCCAGAATAATGTTTTATTGCAGATGAGAAAATAAAATTAGCATGCTAGGCATTGGTTTAATAGATAGAACGTGAGCAGATTATTTGTGGCACTTGTAGTGAATCTGCCACTTAAGTTTTATAGAACAGGCCTCCATTGATGACCTTCAAAAATGGGCCTTTGAAAGGATATAAGATCCTCTCTGGTATGCTTTAAGATATACAGAGAAGAAAGAAAAGAAGCCTTAAAACAGAAGTATAATTAGAAGTTTAGTCTTGGTTCTATCTCTCTTTTTTTAAGATAGTTCTAAATTATCCTCTTTTATTGTTAGATGATGTTTTAGGAGAAAAGGCACTAGGCAATGATTATAACGCCATAAAAAAAGCTACTGCTAGTCTTGACTGTTAAGTGTTAACAGAAACCATACCCATCAGCCTTTATAACTGCTAAGTTGACTGTCTACCCACTTATATATTGCTATGTGACGCACTTCTGTATATTTAGTGCTGTAAATATAAAAAAAAACCAACACAAACCTTTTATTATGCATGGATTCTGTGTGTCAGAAATTTGGATGCGGCATAGCAGGAATGCCTCACATCTGCTCCCAATATCTAGTACCTCAGCTGGGAAAACTCCAACGGTAGAGGACATTCAGAAGAGTTGGATGTACCACTTGGACCTGGAAGACCTATTCCAAGATGGGAGCTTCATTCACATGCCTGCCTGGTTCCTTGCTGGGAGCGGCTGAAAGGTTGGGCTCAGCTAGGACTGATTGCCCGTGTGCCGACATATGATGTAACCTCAGAGGAGTCACGCTTCTTACATGGTGGCTTCTGTCCCAGTGAACAAGATTGGTAGAAGCTGCACGGCCTTTTATGACCTGGCTTTAGGAGCCACACAGTGAGACTTCCATTCTATTCTATTGGTCAAAGCAACCATGTGTCTGCACAGAGTGGAGGACACTTAGGCCCCACCTCTCAATACGAAGAGTGGACTATTTCCAACTGTGTTTTAAAAGCATCATAGCGTCTGACTTTTCCTGACTTAATTTCTATAATTGCACTTTTTTTAGAGTAGAATTAGATATCCGCCCCCCCCCTCGTCTTTTTTTTGTGAGACGACTCACAGCATCAAAGTAAAATTTTAAAATAAAACCTGTGACTTCCACATCAATGTATTTTGTAATTAAGAAGTGTATGGTTGGGCCAGCCGAGTGGCGCGATGGTTAAGAACTCGCTTGGGATGCCAGAGGGCCCCGGTTCGGATCCCACATAGGAGGGCCAGTGACACTGCCCTCCACAGCTAAGATGCTGAACAACAGCTCAACCTGGAGCTGGGCTGCCGTGGGTCGCCGGCGCCGGCGACGGTGTGGGCTGCAGCCCCTGTGGCAGTGGGTTGCCATGGGCTACCGTCTGTAGCCAGCAGCCAGCGTGAGCGGCCAGCAGCCGCAGTGAGCGGCCGTCCAGAAGCCGGCGACGGATCTGCCTCTCCCGGGAAGAGCGCAATGATGGTGCCAACTTGGGCCAGTGAAGCAACGTCCTCCACAACTAGACTGAAGAACAAAACGACAGCAACTTGTCTGTTCCCCTTCCCCCCAATTCCCCAGCACTGTTCCCATCCCCCCAATTCCCCAATAAAAATCTTTAAAAAAAAAAAAAAAGAAGTGTATGGTTGCAGGGGGATTAGTGACATGATTTTTGTTACTTGTAGAAGTGTATTTTTAGAGTTTTGCAGTTAGAGGAATTATTTATAGCTAGTTTCAAAGATAATTATCTGGGTAATAATCATTTAGCTTTAATGGCCTGTAAAGGGAGTTGTTAAACACTTTGTACTAACCTGCAGTCCTAGGAAATACCTGATGGCCTTAGGAGCAACCCATGAAATACCACAGAAACAGAAGTCGAAGAGTCATTTTACTAGAGAGAGAAACATTAACGTGTATCAGAGAGAGGATATTGAGACTTAGATAGTGTCTCATTTAATCCTTATAACATTAGGAATAGGAATCCACAATTCTCTGATGGACAAGTATAGTCAAGTCTCCCTGGCATCTGGATTTGGAGTCATGTCTATCGGGCTTCAAAGTCCAGGCTTTCCTTCCCTCTTACCCTGCTACCCTATGAAATGAAATCAAAGTGAAAGAATAGGAAATATTTCCTTTTTTTTTTCCTTTCAAGCTCTGTGTTTTTCTCCAGTGTGTCATATGTACAAGTCATCTACTCACTGATTCCTACTGATTTCCTCACTAACATCCAGCCACCCAAGCTTAGAAAACTGACAGAGACCAGAGGGCTGAAGTAGCAGTGAAAGTCAACGCGTAGGAACCGAGCTTGGAAACGAACTTCTTGTACCTCTCCTTCCCTATTGCCAGAAGCCTGTGATGATGAGAAAAGGGCTATGTCAAAAGTGGTCCCCAAATGGAAGGCTCCTTCAGCAGATTTCCATCTAAACTTTGGCCAGGAGCCAGGATTCTGTCTATGTCTTTAATGATTTCACGTGGAAGTCTATTCCCTGGGAAAAGAGATGCATTCATGATGTGCATCTTAAACTTTGAGTCAGTTTCTTGTTCCTGAATTTGCAAAGTTCCCTGAGAAGACAGCAGTGGAGTGGAGAATGAGATTCAGAAGTAGAGAAGGGGAGGCGGGAGGGCGGGCAGCATGGAGGTAGCCACGGGGGCATTCGGTTTATCTGCAGTCTTTGGATTTTTATACAGAGAACGTATTTATATATTGACTAAATAGAAAAACATATTAAATGAATCTATTTCATTAATATGTTAATGAAATAGAAAAATAAAAATGCTATGATGAGTTTCCCATATAAAAAGCTAGAATAACTAAGTACAGAGAGAGAAACTGGTTTAACCAGGAGATGGCTGAAAGAGAGCAAAAACTTCTCTATCTAAATGTGCTAAACTTCTGGCTTATATTTATAGGCAGGAGACAGCCTTTGCTCATCTTTCTTGTCTATTTATATTGTTTAGTAGTTATACATGCAAAACCATATTCTCCTAAAGAAGAAAAAAGCCATATGTAATAGACATCTAAGTTTTGCTGCTGAAAGTAAAATTGGGACAAAGAAGGGATTTTGTCCATCCTTTATATTTTATATAATATAAATATATAAAAATATATTTTATAGGTGAAGAAATAGAGAGGAAAAAAGACTTACAGATAGTCAGACTAGCGATTATTAGCAGAGTTTGGTTTAGAATGCAAACTCCTGATTCATAATATAATTCTTTTGTTTGAAAATTTTGCAGAATTGATGGTTTGACATCTTATAAGCAAATAATTTGGGAAAGTCTTTAGCAGATATTGGAAATAAGTTATAAAACAAGGCAGAGCTGGAGTCTTCAGAATTCTCAATCACCGAGTTCTAAATTCTAAGTTACTGAGTACTTAGCCTTTGTTTAAAAGGCAAATATCTAATAAAACTTATTTTTAAGTGGTCAACTGAATATAGAACTTGAAAATAATACACATGGTATCTGATGGTCGTTTAAAATATCCCACTTTAGCTTTCTGGCAGTGATTTAAGACTTTGTGCATCCTCTATGATAATCAAATATTCAGCTCTAGACTATCCCAGCTTAAAGTATTCTGTCTCAATGGCTCTCCATCATTGATAACTTTCAGAACTCCTAAACTTTTAGCACAGCACTTTCCAGACTGCATCTTATATCTAGACATGGCGCAGCACTTGTTTTCCATGGGTCGAGATGTTTTAAACTAAAGTGTATGTAGTCACTATAATTTGGGCGTCAGCAACAACTTTCTGATTTCTCTGTTATCTTTTGCTTAAATATTACAATTCCTTTCTCCAGTTGTAATCATTTGAGTAATGAAGTAATGTTTGGCATAAAGTTCTTTTAAAGCAAAATACAGTAATACCTTGGGTTGCGAGCATAATTCATTCCAGAAACACACTACTCATATTGCAAGACATTGCTTGTTTTCCAAGTTAAAATGTATTATTAGGTTGATGCAAATAGCGGTTTTTGCCATTACGAGTAGCGGCAAAAATCGCTATTACTTTTGCACCAACCTAATAGAAATGTTTGCTCATCTTGCAGAACGCTCGCAAGCCTAGTTACTCGCAATCCAATGTTTTACTGTACCTAAAAATCCATACTTTACATGGTGAGAGTAGCTCTTTTGCGCCTCTATGACAGTGTTTGGGGAAATGACTCCTGTCATCCAGAAGTTCTGTCTGTCTCACTTGATGGACAGAGTACCTTCACATAAACAGCCCATAGCCACCTTGTCTTGTCACTATGGTGACTGTGATAGGCATGTGTGGAAATTTGTCTCAGATATTGAAGACAGGTGAAATAAAAGTGTTTTGTGTAATGAACCCAAGTGCATAAACGGGGAAGCGTTAAGAGGGAAGCCTGATGCTGCACTGGTGATTTTTAATTGGCTGTGAGGAGGAGAGGGAAGTTGGCTGGAGGTTTTGAGGAAGGAGGGAGTGGTGTGGTGAGAGCGATTGGTAAAACAGTTTAGACAGGGCATTCAAACAACACTGACAAGTGGGAAATGTTTTACCAATGACCAGGAACGTTGTGGCACTTTTTGCTTTCAGATGCGAATTGGACTGCATTCTGGATCAGTTTTTGCTGGAGTTGTTGGAGTTAAAATGCCCCGTTACTGTCTTTTTGGAAACAATGTCACCTTGGCTAACAAATTTGAGTCCTGCAGTGTACCACGGAAAATCAATGTCAGTCCAACAACTTACAGGTACTGTTGCATTGGCCACCTGAAATCTATTATTTTATTGGGGAAAATGGTATTTGGTCAAGAGGAAGTAAAGCAAAGTTTCCACCATATGTGCACATCTGCACTGGGACTTTTGCTGCTATCTTTGGATCTTACTACCATCAAGCTCTCAGCTAAATGGTTATATTTTTCCAACCTGTCTTTCTTATAAACTTGGCTCTTTGTTTGAAGATGATTTAATGACCATTTCTAACTCCATGACACACTAATTGTGTTTATCTAGAAGTTTCTTTAAAAAGGCACAGGATTTGTATTCAGAAGATATGTTTTACAAATTCCAAATACAGGGCTTACCAGAATGTGTGATCTTGAGCAAGGCACATAATAAATTCAAATGAAACAAAGGTTATGATTGTAATTACCATATTTAATAGGAATATAGGGCAGAAAAAATATTTTTTAATTTGTCAGTCACCTATAGTTTTATACATTTTTATCTATTAAACCCTTATAGTTTTATACATTTTTACAATTAATTTTTAAACTTTTCAAACATACAGGAAAAAATAAAGTGTTACTTATGTAGCCAATACTAAGACTTAACAAATGTCAACACTTTTGCCGTATTTGTTGCAGATCCCTGTTTTATGAAAGAAATAAAATATTACAGGTTCTTTGCCCCCATGCATTCTCTGTCTGACATGCTGAACTCTATACCCTTAGGGTTTGTAGGAACATCTGAGAACATACACTTCCTGCAGACGGGCAGGTTCCCAAAAAGAGAGGCAGGAAGGCACTGAGTAGAGCAATAAGATATGTTGCTTCTGTTTATCAGGAAGGAAAATGGGCAGAAAGAGGGCAGAAGTGGAACTCTCATTTAGATTCCTCCTGATAGAAAAATAAAGCCCGAGGAAAATACATTTCCAGACTTCATATTCATTGATGCGCTGATAAAATAATAGTTGATAAAATACTCACATTTTGTATGCTAGTCAAGGTCTGTCATTCCTAAGACCTACATTTCTATTCATTTGGTTTCTTCAGTACGTAGAAGGGTGTCACAGTATCAGAATCTAATGCAGCACCACCATTCTATTTCATTTAGACATGACATCACAGGCTGGCGAGTAGAAGGCCATGATTGGTTGGGCAGATATGATGAGTGATTTTCTATATGGAAGTTGGTGTGGAGCACAGCACTACCCAACATGTTTCATGGCCTGAATCATCGATTGGAGAGATGCTTATTAAGTTTGCATTTGACAGAAAGCTAGGGAAGCAAATGAGAAGAGGAGCCAGTCACTTAATCAGTAGGATTGGAATTTAAAAGGAGTTTCATATAATGGACAAGTAGTTAGTGGAAAATAATAAAATAGATGAATTTCAGGAAGAAAAATATTGCAAATACCAGATGGGAAGCAGAGTGTCAACATGTACAATAAATCTCATTTAAGTTCTACCAACCTAGAATTCATAAAAATTCCATTGAGAGATCAAAAGTTATTCTAACATTTTACACACACACACACACACACACACACACACACACACACGTGAACAACTTTTTCTTCACAACTTCTTGCCCATGATTACTTCTCAGTAATATCTACAAAATGAATGAATCGATAAATAAACAACGTTTTAACTCTTTCAAATTAGGAAGCCTTATTCTATAACATTATATTTATGTATTTATGTTTTTGCTATTATTAAATCTTTCAATTATTTCTTTTTTCCCCACAACTGTGAATAACACTGTTATATAGATTATATCTTTGTAAAAATATTTTATAATTAATTTTTTCTAATATGAATGAAATACATGATTTGGTAGAATTTTCTTGTTGCTGTGAATTAATTATTTATTGTATTTTGGTGAATGTGTTTGTTAACATCATCAAGACCTTTCTGTCAATCACAGTAAGAATGGATGGTTTATTCATATTCTCAAGAATAGTTATTTAGTTATGTCTCTTGAGTAGACAGTTATGTCAGTATTAAATTTTAATGGTAATATTTTTATTTTAATTTCTTAGATTACTCAAAGATTGTCCTGGTTTTGTGTTTACCCCTCGATCAAGGGAGGAACTTCCACCAAACTTCCCCAGTGAAATTCCTGGAATCTGTTATTTTCTGGAAGCTTATCAACAAGGAACAAATTCAAAACCGTGGTACCAAAAGAAAGATGCTGAAGATGGCAATGCCAATTTTTTAGGCAAAGCATCAGGAATAGATTAGTAAAATATGTATGTGATTGTTAGTCTTTGGGGTTTAACTCCTTCGAACATGTGTGGAATCTCTGAAAGCACTTTAGGAAGCAGATGGCTATAGAGCAGTATTAAAATTTCAGGAGCTAAGTCACCATCTATTTTTTCTTCCACTTAACATGACAAAATGTATTCACTTTAATACTTCAACTCTTCAGTGAAAATAAAAAAAACAAAGAAACCTCGAAACATGACTTTTGGGGATATATCTGTTATATAACAATCACTTCTTAGCACTTTGTATATATATCAGGCATTTGTAGTGACCTGTGCAATGTGATGGAGTCACTTGCAACCTTGTGTCCTGGTGGAATGCCATGGTTATTAAAGTGTGTTTGTGATAGTGTTGCCTTAGCAATGCTTTTTAATAGAAATTATTGTCTTTAGTACTGTTAGCTCTTAGAACCCTTCAACTCTGCTTTTTATTACCTCATTTAATTTTTAGCATATATAACAAAATAGATTAAGTTTTTTGTTTCTGTTGCACTTTTCTTTCTTCCTTTTCTTTCTTTAAGAAAAAAGCAATTGTGGGTTAGATGCAATCTGAATATAAAATAGGTCTTATGTAAATATCAAAGATTATTTTATAAAAATATTCTTCATAATGCAATGTCCTTCACAATAAATACTTCTTTTTTGTTTGACTTTCTTTTTATTCTACACATAGTAAAAGCTATTTTAATTCATATTAGCCATTTAATTCCTATTAATTCATTTTTGTGTTATAGTATTCAGGATGAAAGAGGCTTACAGCCTATGTTAAAATGCAATAATACCACTGTAATTTAATTTAACCAGAAGCAACATGAGAGTAAGTCAACGTTCAGGGAACATACCATAAAGTACACAAATAAAACATTTACACACACACACACACACACACACACACACACACACACACACACGGCAATTTGGGTCTATTTCAGGAGAAGACAGCCTCTATTGCCATGCTGAGCCTTATAAAGTTCCAATAAGAAATTCAAAGTTGCGAAATGGGAAGTAAGACTTGTTCTTTTTTCTGACAGTGTGTTTTTAAGTATTTGTGTTAAACACTTTATGGTTATATATATGTCCTAAGAATCATCCATTTTTTTGTCTTATCAAGTACACATCTGTGAATTTGTGGCTCTAGTTGAAATATCTCAATGATATTGTCTAAAGAGACTGTTAATGTTGATGAAGAAAGTGATGCAGTGATTGGAAACTTGACAACATTTTTCTGGAACTTGAACTTTAATTTTTAATGATGTTAGTCTAAGATCTCTGGTGAATTAAATAACCTACAGAGTTTGGTGTAGGGTAAGGATTTGATTTTAAAAGAACTCAATTTCAAGGCAAGAGAAAGGTGAACACTATGGTTTTTAAATCAATATTAACAGAGCCAGAGATATGCTGAACTCTTACTTGGGGCTCTAAGAAGTAACTCAGTTTAAAAGTTGTTTAATTATGTCCACTAGTTCCCAGGCTACCCCATGGTGACTTCAGGAATAAAAAGTAATTGTTGATTGGCCTCTAGCATCCCAAATGTACTACTATAGATATCACAATGATTATGATTAACTAAGGGATACCCTGATGTCTTGAAGAAATGAATGCGTTTCATTAAATATCAATCCTTTTGTTGGAAAACACCATAGGCCTTGGGAAAATATAGTTATAGTTTCACAATTTTATGAAGTTAATAAAAATACTTGAAAATAAATACATACCTTTTTTTTCTGGAATTGAGCTCTTATTATAGGGAAAATAATAAGAATTAAAGGAAATTAAAAAGCATAACATAAAATGTCATCTTTATCAAATATTTAAGCAGACCCCAGTTTGGTAATAATTTGTGTTCTGAAAGTTCGTAAGTCAATTAGAATTCAAAAATATTTTCTCTCTATGTGTTTACATATAAAGTCAATAGAGTAAAACGTACACAATCTGAGTAAAAGCTATATGAGAATTCCTTGTATTATTCCTGCAAGCTATCTATAAATTTGACATTTTATCTAAATAAAAAGTCACCAAAAAATGTATTTTCCCATAGAAATTAAATAACCTGTGATAGGTTCGCTAGGCCAGCCTACAAAGGTTCATTAATTATGGAATATTCTGTGGACCTTAAGCAAGATGAACATACAGCATTCCTATGATAGAATACATTCAAAATCTATAACTGCATGCTAAAAAATTTAAGGAATTCCCTTTCTCTCTGTCTTATTCAATTTGGAGGATAGGGGCTATGGAGGCATTTTCAGATCCAGAGTACTGGTGGGGGCCAGGGGCAGAGAACCTGGAAGGTAATTCTCACAGAAATAATTGAACAAAATAGGAGCTCTGATTTAGGAGTGAATTGAAGATAGAGAAAAGAATAGACAGAGAGGGCTTATGACAGGTTTGGGAGCTAAGGGGATCTGAGTCTTGTTGCCAGATTAACTATCCTAAAAAATAATGTGGGATCCCAAGAGTTCTTATCAGCTTGTTTTTCCTGAGAATTTCAGGAGCTGTTCCTCCTGTTCAAATTTTACTGTTTCCATTCATGGCTTTTTGCCCCTTTATCTTGTGTCCAGTATACAAAATAAATTTGCTCTTCATATATTTCTCTAACAAGCCTAGAGTGCCACTGAAATTTTCTAAAGATGTTTGCATCAAGAAGCAAAGAGGAATGTAATGTTAAAATGTCTCTTCCAATTTTTTCTCATATTTTTATTTCCATCTCTACTTTGTCAGAAAACACAAAGTTTGAACCTAAATAAGAATAGATTCACTTACTAATTTTCATTTCTTTATTCATCATTTCTTGAATGACTGTTATGTGCCAGGGATAATATTGTTTTGAAATTCAGAGATAATGTATGACCCATTCTATCAGAAAAGGAAAATGAAAGATGAACATCAAATAGTTGTAAAATTCTGTGGGAGCACAAAGAAGGAGACTCAATGCTTGGAGAAGTGTCTTGGTCTTAGAGGAGTCCATCAAGCCAAGAGGAAAGGACTTGGTTCAAGCAAGTAATCAAGTATACAGGAAAAAATGGAGTCTTGGAGATGCATAGTATATCCTGATGGCAAGTTGCCTGGGATGAATTGGAGGTGAGGAATATAAGGACAGAAAGACCATTGCATACAAATTATGAAAGGGGCTATTTGTCATGTTAAGGTGTGTGATGATGATGATGATGATTCATTATTTATTTCTATGGAGCCCTTTGTTCAAAACAAATCTTACAATAGAAAAGAAAAAAAAGGCAAAACAGAAAAAAGCAGACCATTGGCTTCTGCCTCCTTCCCCAACAGTGTTAAAACCAGTAGCCAAGGGAGATGTCAGATGTTAAAGGAAGAAATGGTAAGATCTGATGTGTGTTTTTGAAAGACAGTGTCAGAAACAGTATGGATAAGGGTGGATATTTACTTTCACAGATGACCAAACGAACATTCTTTCATATCTCAGAAGAATGTGATTCATGCTATATCCTGGGTATTTACCACAAGTATGAACATAAAGCTGGGATATCTGCTATTGGAATTTCATATTACTCTGCAGGCCATTAGCCCTTCGGGTCCTCTGGTGGGAAGGAAGGCAGAGTTGCTTCTGCATTTACTAACCTTTCCTCCAAATTCTTCTCCCTGATACTGCTGGGCACCCCAAGGCCTGGCCTGTGGTTTAGTTGGAAGCTGTCATAAGATGGACAAAGGTGTCCTATGGTGGGCCTAGCAAGTAAACGAGATGATGAAGGGGAATGTGTTTTTCACAGAGAGCTGGGGAATAGACATGGCCCTCTGCGATTCCCTAGCTGGGAAAGTGCCCAAATGGAGCTTTCCATGCAAAGCCCAAATGCAGCCTAAGGCTGTTGAATGCTTAAGAGCCACATTCAGGTCCTGTTCAAGCAGCAGTTAAAAGCCCCAAAGAGAATGGGATAATGAATTATTGTAGTAGCTTTAAGTGCATGGATTTTACCTGGATAAATTGTTATTAATATGTGAAAATAAATCTCTTTGATACATATTTGTTCGGTGGCTTGTTAGATCACTACCCTTCACAAAACAATAAAACAGAGTTCGTTTTGCATGATGATGCACTTTGGTGCTAGTTCACTCTTTAGAGATCTTCACTTGGAAAGTTAAATGAAGACAGATTTGAAGGGTGGAAGGATGGGAGGGTTTAATGTGTGTGAGAGAGGTTGGGAGGGCAGTCACTAGAGGGGCTAGGCCAGAGGGGTGGTTAATTCCTGTAAGGAAGGATTTAACATCTCCTGTGAAACAGAAACTCAGTGCAGCCCAGAGGACAGGGAAGTGCCGTTCCCTTGTCTAATTAATCACAGGCTAAAAGCAGGGACAGCTTGCTTTGTTAAGCAGCGAATACCCAAATGTAATTGTAAACCAAAGTTTACAGTGTCATAATGTACATTCTTCATTGGAGTTCTTTTCAAAGCCTGAGAAATCTTGGTATCCTGTAATGAGAAGAAGAATCACTACCATTGTGCAAGTCATGAGCTTGGGAAGCCATCAGTCCCTTGTTGAGTTTCCTTGTCTTTGCATGTTTGCTTCCAGATGTTAGATAGCATGGCTTCCTTTTACATGCTTGTTTTATTATATTGATGATGTGTACTCCTTTGATATTCTTACTTTTAGCTACTTCAAACATTTTACATTTTATTGCCATCTATATTTCTCTTCAAGCAGCTTTAAATTTGTCAGGCCTGCATCTGTTTTGGCTAGTTCATGCAATCTACACACTTTTTCATCCCAAACTATTCTCTTATTTGTAACATGTCCATTTCTTCCTATAGTCAGGGCATGCCGAAAAATAGCAAAGGCTTCAGAAATGCATAGATTCTATTTTAAAAAAAAACTAAGCAAAGGGGGCAGGAGAGGAAGTGGTATTCTCAAAGCCAGGCTTCTTTTATCATCAGTGCTGACTCTTTTCCATCATATTATAATAAACTTAGTTTCAGGAAAATGTTAATATTTTAGATTTAAACATTAAGATAGAAACCAGGACAAAATTAAATGGCAGATCTAGGACTAAATCTCAGACATTCTGGTAGAAGATTTTGGATAAGGTTGCACTGCCTTTCAATGTTTTAAGTATTGAATATCACAATATTAAATTGCCAATAAACCTTACAGATTGTGAAGAAAACTGTTTGGCAGAAAAGGACTTTGCATAATGCC